TATATAGCGCTTTTAACAATACAGATTGTGTCAAAGCAACTGAACAGCATTAATTAGGAAAATAGTGTCAATAATGCAAAATGACAATAGTAAACACTCATTTTTCAGTTAAAGACTGACTCTCACACACTCTCTCACACTCACACACACACATACACACACGCACACACACTCACACACACACATACACTCACACACACAGTGTTTTTATTTCACTGTAAATAAACGGCACAGTTCTGTAGAGCAGAATATATCAGAAGAAACAGCAGCTTACCACACGTCTGTCTGTGTCTCTCTGTCTGTGTGTGTAATTCGTAAATGTGCTCTGTCTGTCCCTCACATGAGTCTCATTATGATAATTCACTTCATATTCGTCCTGATCTCCATTCAGAGCTCAGATACTCTGTCCTTCACACAGAGAATGAACAAAACTAATCTGAATGTCAGCAAATTGATTGTAGGTTAATGATTGACGCTGATTACGCTCTTTGAATATCTCCAATCATGCACACTTCTTTCAATATTACTTTTTATTCATTTAGATATTTTGGTCTATTTTGTTTACATTTTTTCAGTCTAGCAAACGTTAGTTTTATTCCTCTCTATATTCTGAAGGTTTGTTCATATTTCATTCACACTGATTTATGCAACATTTTACTCCTAAGAACATGGTTTGTTGTCGGTCTGTTGACAGTATTTTCTGATTCTAACCCCTCTGGAGAAACATTTAACTCTAATATGAGGACAAAATCAGACCAGAATTATGAACCTGACTTTATCCAGTGATCAGATTTATGTGCTGGAAATTAATGCAGATTAATGAGAGCATGCCTCATTTGCATATTTAAACATAATTCAGAAAACGTGCAACACAAAAGCCTGTGTCCTCTATACTTCAGCAGTGCTGAGCTCTTCTTCGCTGGTGTGTAACGCGTGGCGCCCTCTGCTGGTCTGTCAGGAGAGTCGCTTCTTCCGGTGAAACCTGAAGCTGCAGCGCTGGAGTTTAGTTTTTCAGCGCTGTCCCTAAAGAAGGGAATGTAATCGAGTCTTACCTTCAACAATCCTCACAGCGCCGTCGTGATGTTCAGGTTCAGAGCATCTCGAGTCACACTTAGTTTTGAGCACGTAAACAGGTTTGCTAGTCAAAGACAGGTGTGTGCTTTAACCAGTTCCGTGTCGCCATACTGTCAGTGCGCTGTTCATTATAATCGATCAATACTCATTTATTCCTCAGTCAGAAATTATTCATCCGTGTTTCAGCGCGACCTGCGAATCCCTCGCGCGCTTTTTTCCCGCCTGCAGGTGAATCCGCGTCACGCTGACGTCACTGAGGCCGCTGTACAGCTTGTACTGGAACACTATTATGTCACTAATAATAATAATAATAAAAGTGTTAAATAATATCTGTCAATGGAGTTAGAAAAATAAGCCGTTTCCCCTTTATTGTTCTCAGCACATTGACAAATTTGTTCTCGTTTTAAGCATAAACTCACTTCATTTTGATACACTTTTCAGAAAACAAGACTTGATATATCTTGATTTCAGAACTGTACTGGAAACAAGACAAAAATACTGAGACAAACAAAGTTTTTTTTTTTTTTTTGCATTTACAGGTGAAACGTTTTTTTGTGAATCGGTTTTAAGACAAACTGGACAGCATAAAGTGCATAAAAAGTGTTTTATTATCATTATTAATATAATTATGAATCACATCCACCCAATGAGAAACAAAATCAGAGACATCCAATCAAAACGTAGTAAATAAACATCATGTGGGGGTTAGAAGAGAGCAAGATACTGTCAACGCACACTCGCACTCACGCACACACACTCGCACACGCGTACACACAGGTTCTGCGATTGGTTTCTGATGATTATTGCTCCCTAACGTCCCTCAAGAAGGAAGAGTAGCTCACGGCCAATCAGGGTTCAGGAACACCTTGTGAACTCTGCCCCCTGCATCTGGAATGTTACATGACATTCTGGTCACAGAAAGTGTGTGTATGAGTGCGTGTGTGTGTGTATATATGAGTGTGTGTGTGTGTATATGAGTGTGTGTGTGTGTGTGTGTATGAGTGTGTATATGAGTGTGTGTGTGTGTGTGGTACACAAACCTGCAGTCTAACTGCATGCTAAGGAAAACTCGTATTTTTGCCCTGATATACTGACGTTTGGTGTCATTCTAAGTGCACTCTGCTAGACGACAGCACACGTTGTGTTTGTTTATTGCTAATGAGTGACAGATTGACTGAAGGATATTAATGTGTCCGTCGTGGCTGGCTGAGTAGATGCTGGATCGGCCGTCCGCCTTATGGACCGTCAGACACTGGATGGATTTGGTGTGTCCCTGAGTAATAACACAGTAATAACACGTCACTCTGCTGATCTCAGAGCAGCTGAAGCAGCAGGCGGTGTCTCACCTTGATGGTGCGCAGCGGCCGGTCCGGGTTGCTTCTGTCCAGGTAGTTGATGTATCCAGACAGAGAGACACTGAGCAGGTGGTTCTTCAGCCACAAGCAGCCCAGCTGCTGGTCCTGAACATCTGAGCCCAGGTTAAAGGTGGAGACAGCCACGCCGCTGCCCACATCCCACAGTCTGACCGTCTTATCACCTGACGCCGAGATCAGCTGCGTGCTGTCAGGACTCCAGCTGACCTGAGGAAGAGGAGCATCATCATCATCATCATCATCATCATCCTCATCCTCCTCACGCGTCACACTGACGAACACTCACAGCGTAAATCCCTCCATCGTGAGCCTTCTCTCCTCCCAGAGAGCCCAGCTTCTCTCCAGTTTTACCATCATACAGGAAAATCTGAGCAGGAGACAGAAACAAGCATGAACAATGCAAAATAAGAGCAATGTAATCAATGCAATGTTTGAAAATGAAAAAATTAAGATGTACATATCAATATTGTAAATTTATCTTTTTACACATTTTTTTTGAAAATTACATACTTTTTATTTTATCTATTTTGAAGTACTAATATATATATATATATCATTATTCAATGTTTTTCTTTAATAATGTTCATAATTTTTTTTTTATCCTAATTTTAATTAGAATACTAATAGAATAGCTAAAGTTATTATTTTTAATTAAACTACACACACACATATTATATTAAAAGATTTATTAAATATTAATAGTGATACTTTTTTTTTTCTTTTGCAGTATAATAGTGTATTATATTTTCCATGATTTTTTTTAACAATGATCATAAAACAATAAAAAGATTATTTATACAACTACAAACTGAAGTGATTATTTTAAAATAAAATGCACAATTTTTTACTCCGTTATTGTGCAGTATAAAGTAATAAAATTTAGAATACAAAATGAAAATATAGTAATACATTACTAAATAAAATCCTAATATTGATGACGATGATTATTATTATTACAAATGTGAACGAATAAACGTCTCACCTGTCCGTCGGCTCCGGCCGATGCGTAACGATTCCCGTCCGGAGAAAACCGCACGCAGTTCACGAAGCGACTGTGATCCTGCAAACCAACATCACAGCATTCACTCAGTAGCTACACATGTTTGAATAAACAATGCTAATGTAAGTGTAGCTGATGGAGGAAGTGAGCCGATAGCCATCGCTCAGGATAGTAGCGGCCCGTCCGTATAAACACATCAGATCTACAACAGCGCTCGGCTGGGTTGCTAGGGCACGGCTGTGTGGTTGCTAGGGTGCTGCGGGCGATTTCTGACTGTAATATGATCCATCTGATCAGGCCTAGGATCAGTTCTTTATGATCAGATGAACAGCTGCACACACACCGTTTTATAAACTGACGTACACTTTGAATGCCCGTGAAGAATGCATGCACTTACGCTAATGGTGCATTTGAACTTGAAAGGAGGCCCCTCCAGGAAAGTGGTGCAGTTGTCGTCGCTGCCGGTCACCAGACGATACGGCCGCGTCTGCTTGATGTCCACGCTGTTGATGATCTTACTGTGACCCACGATCTCTCCGACCGTCGAGCCTGAATCCCAGAGGAACACCGCGCCGAACCTGCGCAGACACACACAGGACAGCATGAGCGCGCTGGGTGCGAGCGGCTGGGGGCGTGGCCTGCAGCTGTCACTCACTTCTCTCGCCCCTCCCCCACCACGGCGATCCTCTTGCTGTCCTCGGTCCAGGCGATGTCCTTGATTTTCCCTCCGAAGGGCTGGTACTCGTACTTCAGCAGGTGCTCCTTCTGCGTCGTGTCCCAGATACGGATCTTCCCCGACACATCTGAGCAGAAAGAGACACACTCAAGAACACGCGGAGCAGATCTCCGAGCTCAGACGGAGCGGCACTCACCGCCCGACGCGATGTAGAATCCACTGGGAGCGTATTTGGCCACGATAACCTGATGAGGATGCTCGGTGTAGACGTCTGCGATCGCTGGGTTCTGGAGCAGAGAGAGAGAGGGAGGTTAAATGCGAAAAACAGTGAATGAACAGGGGACACTATAAACACTAATAACCCAGACGCTTTAATTAGTTTGTAAACAAACACCCAATTTAGTAAATACTGACTTCAGCTCCTGTCATGACCGTGGTAAACACTCTAAACACGCATGAAACGCTCACAGGAATCACATCAGCGAGTTTGAATGCACACGAATGCACAAAATTATTAACGGGAAACTTGTGCATGCAGTGAGAAAGCATGCTGGATGCATGCAAATTTGTTAAAATTAATTAAAAAAAACCTGCATTTACAATAAACTAATCTGCATGCGCAAGACATGATAATTAATAACTATTAAATTTGCAGCACCTTGACAAACTGAATAAAAACACAGTAAAGCAAAGACACACCCGATGTGCTTTCTTTACTCATCATTTTGTAGAAGCAGTGATAAAACGTTCTAAACGTAGAAATAGTAAGGTGCGTTCAAGTCACGTCAGAACGATAGTATTTAGCCGCTGAATGCACATGAATGGCACCACAATGCCATAATTATTATTATGAGTGAGGAACTGAATTTTCTTTAAGCTGTAGGCATGTCTGTGGGGAAACACTGGATTCGTGTATTGATGGTAAATTTGCTGAAATTAACTAAATAATTATTTTTTGCATGTTATATGTACAAAATACCATAGTATAGTACAATTATGAAAGAATATATATATAACGATTTAATGTAACAAAGCAAAAACACACTCAATGCACTCGCGTTATTCATCATTTAGAAGTAGATTTAAAAACGTTGCAGAATTTGTTTGGTAGAAATGGTACAGTCTGCGATCAAAGTGACCTGCACCTGACGCTGTAATCACAACTCGTAAAATACGAAAAACGTCTGTACAGAAGAATTGCAGTAAGTGTTTGAAAACCAATCTGCTTCAAAAGTCTTTTATAAGCTTCTCCGATACATGCGTTACGATAAACGTAATTCTTCTTCGTTTGGACAAACTGGGAACCAATTTCG